AATAATGTTTAAGTCAAAAAAAAAAAAAAAAGTGGGGGGGGTGAACTATATAAAATATAAAGTACTTCCGTACGTCTCAGAAGTTTTAAAGCCAAAATTATTTTAATTCAAAATTACCCACTGTATCTTCGTTCAATTTACCTCTATAGTTTACCTTTTAAAGTAACTTTACTGTAGCTAAGATCAAATTAATTCTACTGCCCCTAAAACTTCAGCTATTCAATTGGAGTTTACCATTTGTGAAGGAGGTGGGGGTAAATATATACTGCTTTCCTGAGTCCTTTGTTGAACATGCGATAAAGTTTTCAAATGGTTTGAAATAGTGCTATCCAATTGCAGGATCGTTCAAGTGTTCTGTAAGTATATGAAATTTTCTAGTTAATAGCATATTTAACATCTTATGGTCATATCTAGAGAATGTCTGACGACTGGATACTCAAGCTCCTAATGTACAGCCAGTTAGCCATGGGCGTCCTACATTCCTGTAGCCCTGATCCAAGATATAAAGACAAGCTGAAGAGTAACTTGTCAGTTGTCAATATATCTCATAACCTCGAGCGCTTAGCCTTGGAGCGGGTAGAATGGAGATCAACGTGTCTTAGTAGACTCAGCAGTTTTCAATCTGCTTGTCTGAATAGTCTAAGCGAGAGCACGATCTAAAAGGTCAGCCAACCCAACAGTGATATCATCCTCACTCCTGCTCCATATGTGGCCTCCTTTGTAAATCACTAATGGGTCTTACGGGTCGCTTAAGATTATCGCTCAAAATTTCATAACTGAATCAACTGCTAGTCAGATCCTCATACACTAAAACAGACGGGAGAGCCCATTTTATATATACATACACACAATTTTTTTTTTTTTTTTTCCTGGAGTCAATGTTAATTTCTTGGGGCTTGCAAGAGAGACAAAATCTCATCTACCAAGAACCTCACTGGCAATAAAGATACAAGCTGCTAAAAAGCAAATTTAATATATATATATATATATATATATATATATATATATATATATATAATAAGCCTAATTATGTTCACATTCCATAGGAATATGTTATGGGCAAGATTATTATTTTACTACTGCCTTATCATAGGAGAGAGATGTAACTGCCTATTCATCGAAAATTGCATTACAAGACATTGCAGGAACGTAACCTGTCATAAGTCAAGCAGTCCCTGTCTGTAACAATATAGATTAGTTGACATGCATCAAATTTTTATCTCAGAACTATTTAGGTTCATCTTTTGCACTTAACAAACCACTCAGGTAAGATTTTAAGCTTCCTTATGTTACTGTATTTTATGTTCCATTCTCTCAGAATATTTCTAGAAAGAAATAAAAAAAATAAAAACAGCAAACAAAACCATCCTATTTGCCATTGTATAAATATATCAAAAATCCAGGAAAGAAAAAAAAGAAAATCTAAAAACATGATCAGCATTTCAAAACATGCAAGTAATCCATTAAAACATGATAGCCTAAGAAATGGTTTTGTAGAGAAGATTTTATTAGCTCAAGGAAGTACAGAGACATGTTTGTGACAGTCATATTCTGGCATTGCCAGCCTGCCTGACATGAATTTGCTGTAGGCAGACATGTAAGACAAATAGAAAGGCATGAAGACAAGGCACTAACAGTAGGTTCAAACCAACAACTCCAAGAACAGTGGACAGCAAATGTACTTTAGAATATCTGTACTTTGATGAGCAAATTCATACACAACCACAAGAGAAAAATGAAGAACCAACAATTAACCCCAAGGGTTATGATCTAATCGTTGAGATTTGTTTTTTTGTTTTTTTTTGTTTTTTTTTTTTGCTTTAATAGATAAATAGCTTGCCAATATCAAATTTCAATAAATGGTATAACATGATTTTGTGTACCTTAATAGTGGCTGGTGTGGGGAGGAGGAGATTAAAACATCTTGAAGCAAGATGATTTTAGATACCCCATTATAGGAAAGTGAATATGTATAGAAATCCCATCCTTTGGGAAGAGAAGGAAATATAGCAATGATTCTTTTCTGGAAAAATAATTTCTTCCATTTTTTTTTTATTTTTATTTTTTTGCTTCTCAATCTGACAACTGCTGCCAAGTCCCTATCATGAAACAGAGGAAATATGAAAGGGTTATACATCCCGATTCTTTTGACCTTATTTGCTTCAATTAACATGACTTCCCCTTCTCTCCCTTTTGGAAAGGAAATATAAACAGTCAACAGAATGTTAACACTGCAGTATTCTTATACTTAAAAAAAAAAAAAAAAAAAAAAAAAAAAACCTTTTTGACTACATGCCATGTAGGGCCAGTGTCTACTAATTTCCATAAAGAAAATTAAGCTTTAAGGTTTTTTTTGTTTTTTTTTTTTTAAAGAAAACCTCCAATGGCATGAGAAGACAGGATCAAAGAACATGGTCCGAAGTTTCGGAGGGGGGGGGGGTACAATTATTATTATTATTATTATCATTGTTGTTATGGATGATATTCTAAAGATGCCAACTGAGAAAAAAAAAAAAATGACCTTTATGAAATGGCATCAATCTGGGTGGTTGGGGGTGGGGGTTGCAGCAGCAATGAGTAAAGATTTGGCAAGAACAGTAAACTTCAAGCCGAGAGGAAAATTTTTTTGCTGTGTGTTTTTTTTTTTTTTTTTTTAATTTATTAAAACTAGATTTTGCTAAGTTTGAGAGCTCCCAGATTCGTTGTTTAAGCATGTAAGAGCAAAATGCTTTTTTGTTTTCTGGCTGCAGAGAGTAGGAAATTGAAGAAGCATTTCAGCACGGAGTTAATTCAGACGAAAAAAAAAAAAAAGGTTTGAGAATGGCACAAGAATTCTCAGGTAATCCAAAGTAGTGTTAGAATTTCCAAAGAAAACACTGGCTTTTAAAGTGGAGAAAATAGCTATATGCATATAAAGTATTTTGGTACCAGTAAAAAGTTCCTGATGAGGATGTTGAAAAATACTTTGGACAAAGAAACAAGAAAAGATTTTTTTTTTTTTTTTTTAATGTGCCATTTATATTTGAATTAATGTCTGTAGAGGTTCACTCCGAAGTTGCTTCGAGGAGGTCATAGCCTTTAAGGCTTTTCTTTTATTTTTACACAATTTCATACTCCTTCCGGATGGCACGAGCCAAGCAACAAGCAAAGATGATACCAACAATCTGAAAGCAAATAAAAAGGGGATAATATTTTAATTTGAGAGAGGAGAGAGAGAAAGAAAAAGAAAAAGAAAAAAAAATATCACCAATAGATAAGAAAAGCAAAGATCTATAGAAGTCAGTCAAACCAATTTGCCCAATTTTAGACTACTGGTCAGTTGGTATATAGCATTCACAGCAAGATGTTGAAAATAGGTTCCATATTTAAGAGGGTCAAAGTAAGAATGTTTCAGAACCTATCACATTCAGGCAGGCCGATTTTGGAACCACATTATCAGACATAAATAATGACTTTTTCTAAATCAGTTTTTTTGATAAAATGTGTTTAAAGATGTAGTTTAGATTCAAAATTGAAGTGTTGAAATTTTATTTTGATGAGTGAAAGTTTTTACACTGTCAAAAATTTCTGTACCCTTATAGAAAACAAGGGTGTAAATAAAATGTTTTCTAAATGCAAGATTTGTCTCATTTTAAAATCCAAGAAAAATAAATCAGAATTATGAATAAGATAGAAATATTCACTTTCACTTTATTGGAAAAAAAATGGAGATTAAATATAATGTATTTTGGATGCAGTCAGCAATGTAAATCAGTTCCTCATATGGAAATAAAGTTTTGACAAATTTCATGAAGACAAGAAATTTCTTCCATCTTAACACTAGCAAAATAAATATATTGTTTATGAATATTGTCCCAGAACTTTCAATGCATATTAAAGTTTTCACTGTTATTTTTTTACTATATTTGGTAATTGATATTTTGACCAGTTTGTCACTAAAATTAGTTCTTTTGTTTTTATACAACAGAATTATTTGATAAAAAAAAAAAAAAATTGTTTAATCTACATAATTTTTCTAAGTTTGAAACAAGTGGTGTTTATTGAAAATGTGTATTTTTGCGGAAGAAACTACATTTCTATTTAAGTAAGTAATACTGTTTTTTCCTATTTTTCTTACTTCAAAATTTTCTTTGGAAATTTAATTAAAATGGGAAGGGATACAAGAGAAAGAACAGGACCAAATGGCAGTTTCTAACTTACAGCTATTGACAAAGATGCTGTGAAAAGAAATGTCAAAAAAGTGCAGCTGAAGCAAAGAGATTAAACAGGCAGATTGAAAGACAGCAAGAACAGAATTCTATGCATATTGCCCCATGTGAGGGAGAGCTTTTTACAGCTCTGAAGGTGGTGGGGGGAGGGACAAAAACTTTACACCATTGGCTGGTCACTTGAGGAAAATAGACTTCCATTCAGAGATTTTTTTTTTTTTTTTTTTTTTTTTTAAGTACATTGATGAAACTACAAGAAGCCCTATTACTTTTATTGCTCTTCTATGGAAACTTTGCAGAAATGATTACCAGAATTTGTCCCAAGTAGAATTTAACACTATCAGTGGCCTTCTGGATAATTTATATTTTACTGTAGGGCGTAATTTAAGATTTCAGTGGTGACCAGAGACATGCAGTAGGAATTTCCCAAGGAAAAGTGAACTATAGAATTGTGTGTCTAAGACAAGCAAGATGGCCATAAGTATTTATGAACCACAGGTGCCTATCCACCAAAACTGATAAATTGTACAGCTTTATAAAATTTATAATTGAAATATGCAGTCAATTGGTTTGAAATTAAAGAGGGATAAAAAGCATTTTTTAACCAACAACTAATATATATATATATATATATATATATATATATATATATATATATATATATATATATATCAACATAATCCAGAAAAGAAATCAACAGTCAAGCAAAATACAATATTATATTAGAAACTTTACAGCACAAAAATATTTCAGAAGTAGGTGAACCACCAAATAAAAAGAAAAAAAAATTACAATTACATTCAACTCTGAAATGACACTGGTCAAATTTGATTAATCTCTCATAAAATGGAGTTTGTCAATCTGCTCTTGCAGAAGGTTTGTTAAATAATCAACTTCAAGAGGTTCTAATGAATGGAACAACGTTAGAGTTGCTGAATTTACCTGCACATTAGCAAGGTGTAGAAAGAGCAGTTAAATTAACTACTGAAGTTTCACAAACTGTACATATGGACAAGAAGCAAGACAAGAACATTACTAAATCCTTGTGCCATCAAATAAGACCTTCATTTACTTCAAAGGGAAACTATCCTGAATAATTTTAGCTAGATTATGATGTAATTATACAGTGCAGTAGATTTTCAATAAATAATTCAAATTTGAAACTGTCATAATTTGTACCCAGCAGTATTATGGTGTTATATACACTTTTATCTAATTTTTTTTGTTATGACCTAACAAATGGTGTAAGATCTAATTTATTGATTAGGCTTTTTTGTAAGCTTTCAGTTTCCACTTATCAAATACAGTAATATTTTCCATTCAACGTATCTAACTTTTAGATTTATTTTTGTAGTACAACTTTGAAGTCTATTCTCTCTTTCTGGATGTGGCAAGCCTCTTGCTGCTTCCATGGAAAATGCTTAAACCAATTACATCCCTTAGTTCCACCAGTTCAAATTTTCACTGTCAGGAGCCACTATGCCAAGTGCATTGTTTGCAAAGCACCCACATCCCCTCCATATTCCATAGATAAGAAATAAGATCCACTTTAACAGATTCTTCCTCCCAAGAGGATGCCCCCCACCCAAATCACTACAATCTTAACCTGTTAAAGTTTAGGGTTAACAGTTACTTTCCTCTCCTATTTGTAAAAACTGCCTAACATAACTTCTACCTTGAGTGTCCCCCAGGCCTTGTACAGCATGAACAGTATTGTAACAAAAGAAAAGACTGCTGAAATTAGGTATTTTTATACTTTATCCAGACAATCTTTAAAGATTAGAGTGCTCAAAAATTGGTAAAAGCTATGATTATAATTTTTGGTGTCTGTACTTATCACAGCTTTCACAGAGAGCAGTATGGATTGTTTAAAAAAAATAAAAAAATAAAAAAAATAAACCTACACTCAGTTAACTAGGGCAAGGAATGGCTTTTTAATTTAACACCTCCAAAACAAAACTTCTATTATTTCTCTTTGAGGACCCTTTCAGCTTTGCATAAACACAACTGTTGCTGACCTCCAGGAGAATCACCCTTTGCTTAATCTCAGGCTAACATTTTCCACAGACATGAAGTAAAAAGATTACATTGAATCAATTGCTAGGTCTGCTGCTAGGAAAGTTGCAATTTTTCGACAGAATCTATCTTACATATTTATAAGTCTACCACTCGGCCTTGCTTTTAATATTGCTGACACATATGGTCTGGTGCTCCCGCTATAATATTTAGAGAGCCTTGATAAAATACAAGGATTCTACAATGTGATTGGTCCAGACTTGGCATCTCAACTTCAGTCATTCCTCACCCCACCCCAAATAACTGTAATGTAACTTCACTGCTTTATCTAAAAATACTTTCATGGTAATTGTTCTGATTAATACCGCTCTATGAATTTAAGTCCAGTACTAGATTCCCCAGCAACATCTCATTTGAAACATGGAATGGCTAGATGTAACTAATTTCTATGCTAAACGTTTTTCTCACACTTATCGATTGTAGAAGACCTTCCAGCTTCTTGCTTCCCAGTCAAGTTTGATATTTATGTGACTCCTGATATCAAAAGATCTGACTGTTGCATTCATTGAGCCTATTAATCTTTCCATGTGCTTGCAAATCTTGAACATTAACAGAATTGAGAATTCAAGCAGAAAGGATGACTACAGAACCATTTGAACCATCACAAATGACAGGAAACATAAGAAATGAGACCATTGGAAAAAAAAATAAAAAAAATAAAAACCTCAGTCACCATAAGAGAATGATTAACTTATGGACAAGACCCAACACTATTTCTACTACCATTCTACAAAGCACCACATTTAAGTGACAGACAGACGGGGTAAAAAATGGTTTGACCGAGTGGACTGGAACATCATCTTTCAGAGACTTAGATATTAGTACTCAACTGGAAAAGACTAGTCAGATGCTTCGTGATCATACAATATCATGGGACTTTATGATTGCATTAGAACTTAGAATCAGCAAAAAAAATTCATAATTTAATGTTTACTTCAATTCATATGGGAAGTTTGACATGTTTTTGCAAGGATTAAAATAAAATTCAACCGCAAGAAGTGATTGGGAAGACAGACATTGGGGCCCAATATAAAACATTTCATTGAAGAAAGAATATTTATAACAGGAATTTCAAGAATGGCACAAGGAATCAGTTTCAAATTGTAGAAAAAGTGGAAATGATATTTTGCAAAATTAAACAAAACTCACCTGAATAAATGCCAAGCCAATTCCAACACCACCAATTTTCATGATATTTTTCTGAACAAATTCCAGGAATTTCTCAAGACAAGGCTAAGAAAAAAAAAAAAGAAAAAAAGTAACCATTTTAAAGCATGCAGAATATACCAAGAGCAATGAAAGAATTTGATCATTAATAAAGAACACTAGTTAATTTAGCCATTTAGTGTTATAGGAGATCAAGAACATTTATCTGAAATGCTAACATAGAAAGAAATTTAGCCAACTTACGTCCTTATTAAGGGCAGTTTTAACACAAGGCTTGGCAGTCTTGCAGCAAGATTCTGGATAACTATGGTTGTATGGCAGCCACTCATCAGCATTCTCAACACCACAACATTCAAACTGAAATAGAGTATAATACCTGCATAAGTACAATCATTTATAAGAATGGTAATGAATGTTACATGCAGCAATGTACAGTCATTAAATAAGAGGCTTACAATCAATAGAAAATAATATCAAGTCATTCGAGCAATTAGAAAAAGAAACCTATAGACAAAAGAACAAATTTAGACTTATATTAAAAATCCTGTATGATTAATAGAAACATTAGACATGTTTATTGGCAAATGAATTTGATATTAAGGAAAAAGACCCCACAAAAAAACTTACCTCTGTCTGCACAGCATCCCAAGATTTTTTGACTCCCTCCTGAGAAAAATAATTTGCTTCTGCATCAATCATTTTTTCTCTAACTTCATCATGAAGCTGGAAAAAAAAAAAGCTTTGTTTGTAAAAAAAGAATAAAAAAAATACAAGTATCTTAGAGAAAGTATTAAAGATTACACTAAATTTTTCCAGGTTAAGGGATTAGAATGTAAAACAAAATTGAAACTAACCTCATTGCGCATGACAAATCCAGCAATTCCACCAGCCAATTCAAAGATGAATATAACGGCCAACAGGACAGCAAACTGAAATAAAAATAAAAGCAGAATGAAGCTAGTCACAAAATGTCATACTGTTTATTAAGTCAGTGATGAAAAATAGATTAAGTTAATATGCAGAAATTAAAAAAAATCTGTTGCCCCCTTTTTTAAAATTACAAATTCCTAAGCCAATTGTTTTGATCCTTGAACAGCGAGTGCCAAATAAGGCAATGTGATCCTGTCCAGTTATATCATCATTAAAGAGGCATCTATTCAAACCTATTTAAAAAAAAAAAAAAGCCTAACTAAAACCTATGCCAGATAGGAGGGGGTCACAACAGAATGTTCAATCCTTCTCAAAAACATGGTAATGATTCATGATAAATGTTAACATTAATGAGACATTTGACTTTTCACAAAGTTACTCGAAGCAATCCTGACAAAATAGGCAATTCAATCTTGCTGTACATAAAGTAGGAACCAGATTCCATATTAGTCTAATTTGTCTTATGATAAAGCTGCACAATACTGTCAATACTTACCACCATTGTGCAGACATAGTTCTCTTTGATGGCACCACAGCATCCAAAGCCAGCAATGAAGAAAATGATGGCACCAACAACTATTATTAATATTGCTGCTGCATTCACTTTCCCACTGAAGAAGCTTAAGTAATCATGAAGTTGGACCTGAACATAAACTCCAACAGCAATTAATGCAATTGCTGCAATCTGAAAGTAGATGGTGAAATGATAGTTTTAGAGCTTATTTTGTAAGTTTTAACAGACATTGCAAAATAAAAACTTAATGAGGGCAGAAATATATTAACGGGAAAAAAAAAAAAAAAAAAAAACATGCAATCAGCCAAGTTTTCCTGCATAGACAAAATGTTAACCTTCATAATGATGTGTACATTCAACTTAACAATTTAATTGTAGCCTACAGCAATTATACTGTCTGAATGGACAAGTTACATAGCATTGAAATGTATTCAAATGACAAATATCTTTAAAAAGACAACCATTGAATCAGATCTTGCACAATTTGAACACATAAGATACATACATTTGGAGTTTCATCAGCAGCAATTCAAGATTTGCATCTTAAAGACCTTTAACAGTAACAACATATCAAGTAACCAAAGTTAACCAATAGTTTTGCATGCAGTTGTGCAAGTCTTGGGATGATAAAGAAAAAAAAGAAGTTGCTACTTCCCAGTTTCAAAGTAAACCAAGAAAACAGCTTAAATGAAAGGTCAACTAAGGAAAAGTTGAAACATGAATTAGAAGACAGCATTAAAAAAAGAAAAAGCTATCAAAAATAAAACCTACAGACAATGACAATACTTAGATAAGATGCAAATTAAATTCTGGGATCACAAATGCAGCCATGAGAACTACTTATTCACAAAAGAAAGAAAAAAGTTTCAATGAAAATGGATATGTAACTTTTGTAACCAAAGTTATAGACAGTTCCAGGACCGGTCAACTACATTGTAGTATTATACGTAGTTATTTCTGACAGTGTGCACAGTTACAGTACTATTTTTCTCAAGTTCGGGGGGATGGGGAGCCCTAACAAACGGAAAAATTTGCACAAGAATTTTGCAAGAGCTGACATTTTTACTAGATTTGAACTTGATTTTCCTAAGCTTGTGAAAAAATTAGGAATCAGTCAAATGAAGAAAGTTTAATAACAAGATTAGAAATTAGAAGCCTTTCTTGCTTAGTGAGAAAATCAGTTGCAACAATGAAATTAGTTATCAGCTGTTAAAAGATTCAATGCTAATTAAAAAGGTGCTGTAATGGATCTGCAGAACAATAACTGGGAGACATAAAACTAAAACTTAAAAGTAAAAAAAAGAAAAAAAAAAGCCTTCTCTTTTTTTACTCGTTTGAGAATTTCTAGCCATGATGAAAGGTTTTAAAAACTTCAGCCCGAAGTGTTAGAGTTTTTAAAGTTTCTTATTCACAAGTTTGTGTACAAGCTTGAATGATCATTCCAGCAAAATAATTTTTCATTATCTATTTCTTGAATCATCAATAATCACCCAGACCACAGAATAAAAAAAAGAAATGAAAGTATGACAATCAACTATCTCGTCTCTCTCTAGTAAGTAGTCAATATTGACACAGCAACTGTTGCTTTCGTTGAAGAAACTGATATTCTTATAAGAATGCTTTTTTTCTTTTTTTTTTTTTGCAGTGCCCGATTAAAAAAAATCTTATCCGTCCAAATGCTAAACTTAAAAGGCCTTAACTAACACCATTTTGAAATAGAAAATGGTTCAAGGACAAGGTATTACTTCTGACAATTGAATATACGTACCAAAATCACGAGTCCACTTTTACAATAGTGGAACAAAAATAAAATAGGACCAAATCAAAATTAAACTTTAATAAAATATTTCACTTCACATACACACTAGCTAAATTTTCGGAAGTTTTAAATGTAAGATTAAGTAAGAAGTACTAAGTAAATAAAGAGACTAACGAACCACACCTGCGAATTCAATAATAAAATATAGATCAGTTTAAAACTGTTAAACTCAAGTTTATGCAAAATTTGCATTCATTTCCGAACTAAATTGGTACTATTATTAACTATTATTATTTTGAACAGCTTTAAAGTCCGTCGGCGGAGGAAACAAAGGTATTTAAAAAATTCTATTTTTTTTTTAATCCAGTAGCACAACTTAAGATAAAAATACACTTGACTTGATGTACAAGACACGACGACCTAAGTTCATTAAGAAGATAGAAAGCAAATGTTACAAACTAGTTGCCATATCCACAAGAAGATTCATTCCCCACTGCCAGTATTTCAAGTTTGAACAGTAAAACTTGAAACTGTAGGGTCGAAATCTGACCCAATTGGTTTTTAAATTACTCATTTTAGACTAGCGTACGGCTGACCACCAGTTTATGAGAATGGGATGGGCAGCAAGTGCTTCAGAAGCCGTTTCTTGAAAACAATCTTTGAGAACGGATAATAAAAATATCTATGATCAAAGTCAAAGTATTTAACTCAATAATACTCTGAGTTTGAGACAGAATCGTTTGTTTTGTTTAAAAATTCCACTTGGTTGTGAAGAAGACAGACCACAGCTTTGTTAGGAAGAAGCTGTGTGTGTGTGTGTGTGTGTGTGTGTGTGCGCGCCTCTGTGCCTACAGGTTGGCTTTCTTGCACTTAAGAATCAAAAAAGACGATTAATAAAAATAATCTATTTAGACAGCCTGGAATTTGAACCGACCGCCCTTTTTCACAGAACGACCAGATTGATCGTCAGATTTAATCTCCCTACACCAGTAAATAAAATTTAAAAAAAAAATCTGGTAGTTATGGACACAATCTATTTTTACTAGATTACAGACACGATACAATAGAGAGAGAAAACAAAGAAAATAAGGAAAAAAAAAGCAAGAAAAGAAAAACAAACTCCGCCATATTGAGGAAGACAAAGAATTATTTAGATAGAAAGAAAGAATTGTCAAAACATTTCGACAGGCGGATCGGGCATTGAGAGGAGCTTCTTTTTTCTTCATTTATATATATATATATTATATATATATATTTTTATTCACTTTGAAAAAGAAAACAATTTAATCATTAAATGGTAGAAACGTAGCAATTTGGGTTTTTTTTTATGTTGAATTATAAAAGGCAACAAATCTTCTTGCGGCAAGGCCTTCGTCTTCTTGACCCACAAAACAGTCTTGACAAGTGGCAGCAGCAGCAGCAGCGACGGTGGGCGAGGAAGATGTTTACGTGGAACAAGATCCTTTTTTTTAAATATATGCTTCTTAACTATCCAGAAACTCCCGGATCCTTAAATAGTTAATTAGGAGTTTATAATCATATAAAGAAAAACAAAATGGTTTGGTTAAAAAGAATGCAATCGGTAAGAATGGAGAGAGAAAGAGACATTTTAGTGCCAAGACGGCGACTACTAAAAACCAAAGACTATCGAAGTGGCACGGATTTATTTATTCAAGACAACACAGGAGGAGAGAAACAAAAAGAAAATTAATGGCAACAATCAGTTTGGGGTTTCGTTTTCGGGTTTCTGATTTTTTTTTAAATTAGGGGGAAAAAAAAAAAAAGACATTTAAAAGATGTTCAATAGTAGAAATTAGTTGAGCTTCAGACATTTTATGGAATAAGATTTGTTGAAAATGTAGTTGAAGAAGCATGTTTTTAGTTTTAGAATCAAGTTGTTGTGCAATTTAAAAGCACGCGGAAAAAAAAAACTTACGATAAAACAAAAAAAAAAAGTCTTTAAAAATTTTAATTTATAAAATATCGAATTTGTTAAAAACAAATTAAATTAACAAATTAGTCAAATTAATTTTAAAAAGGTTCTAAAAAGCTAAGATTAAGAAATTTCTTTAAATTTTAAAAATCAGTGTCTTTTTTAATAAACGGCTAAATTATAAAACTTAAAAAATTATTCAACCGGTTTTAAGATTTTCAGGATAAAAAGTCTTTTTAAAAAAAAAAAAAAAAAAAAAAAAAAAAAACAGACTATTAAGTTCATAATCCAAAGTTGTTGATAGTTCATTTTAAAATGGAAAACTAGGACTAAAATTTCTGACTCAAGTTTGAATTCAAGAGGATTTTTCATTTTAAAATAATAACACTTTAAAAGTATAATAAAAAAAAAAAAAAAAATACACTTGAAATGGATTCAACAATCAACAGGAAATCAAAAACAAAGTGTTACTAAAAAAAAAAAAACAATCATTTATTATTGAAAATGTCTTTAAAGAAAACTGATCAAATTTAAGATCAGAAAGTGTTTCGAAATAAAATGAAAAATTAAACACTTCAGTTCAAAATGTTTTTGTTTTTCTTTCTTTATCGACCCGCCCAGGGTGGAGACTTTTTTTTTTTTTTTTGCTATTTCTATTCAAATTCCTTAGAGACTAAGAAAAACGTTCTTTGCTACTTTCATATATTCGCTTGGATTTTGTTATGATCTAGAAATTCTTGATCATGAATAGAAAACTAGTCTCAGAATGAAAGGAGAAAAAAAAAAAACTGCCCCCTCACCATAATCGCCCCGTAAAAAAAAAAAAAAAAAAAAAAAACTTTTCCCCCCGACAAAAATAAAAATAAAGCAACTCAGTTTTTTTTAAATTTTAGAGAAGACGACAAATTAACAGATTTCAAGTAACAGATTCAAAATTAAGTTTGAAAGTTTTTTTTTCATTTTTAGTATCTCTAAAAAGTTAAACTGTAAGTGATTTTAGAAGAATGTTGTGTACAAGATTTGCGTCAAGTTTCATTAAGAAATCTGATATCCATAAAAAGAAAAAAAAAAACATTAAAAATTAAAAACCAAAAAACCACTTTCACTCATGGACATTTTCTTTAAAATAAAAATATAAAAGTTATTGAAATATCCCCAGTTTTAGAAATTAATCGCATTTATTTTTCATTAAGAAAATTACGTCTAAAATTGAATATTTGAAGAATTTAAAGAAAAAAGCGAGTAAAATCAGTAAATCATCCTAAGATTTAAAAAAAAAAGTCAATTCAAAACGGAATTTATTTTTTTAATATATAAAAGAGGTTTTAATAGTTGTTTTTCCTTGTAATATCTTAAAAAATTCTGATTATTTTTTTCTTCAATATTCCTCAACAAGTTAAAAATACAAAGACCCACAAGGGGAAAAAAATCTTGAAGAAAAATAGGTGGGACTCTAAAAAGTTGAAAAAAAAACCCCAGAAAATAAAAGAAGTTTGGTATTACTTACCACAAAAACAAGATTAAAAGCAAATAGCAAGTATTTGACACATTTCATGCCACCTTCCACCATCCTGTAAAGTTATTTGGGTGGTATTAACCAAAGAAAAGTTTTAAATCAACCAGCAGCAATGACTGACAATCGACAATGGCAGCAAACGTCACTTTGCAAGGCGATGGAATCGGTATACTTGTCTTCCTACGCAAGACGCACTATTTACTCAGTACCAATAGAAAGAGTCCCTCGTTTATCTCAAACTCTCCCTAAAATAATCCTACTACAAAACTTATACTCTACGGAAATAAACTTTAAACTACATTTGAACTTTAATAAGCGTCTTTAAGCTAACAAAAACCCTCAATTTATACAGCATGGCCAAATTCAGATTTCTTGTGGGAGGAAATTCGAAAGTATGGATATCCATAAGTTGCATAAATATATTGCTTCACTGCAATTGCGACAATGCGTTTCTTACCGTTTATATGTTATTTTATTCTATTTTATTTCCGCTTTTTTGTTTTGTTTTCTATCATTTTCTCTCTATTTTCATAATAATTTGTCTTTTTCTTCTTTTTTTTAAATTCATATATAAATGTTTTACTTGTCACATGAGGTATGTTACACTGCTGTTGATTGTGTCAGCTAACATTTTTCAGCAAGCATTGATAAGATATATACAAGCGGGGTTTGGGCTGTTAAAAATAATGAACTTGTTAGTTACACTTTCAAAAACAAGGTGACTAAACTATTTCCATATCACATCTAACAGGTTTCACTAAATATAATTAAACTGGCTGTAAGAATAAACCTCTTCTTCAGTTGAAATCAGATATTTCTCTTTATTAATTGCTTCTAAATCACATTTAACAAACCAACTTTAGGGAAAGAATCTGATTATAATGCTCACTATTTCCTCCTCAGTCAATCAAATTGTGGGCTACACACACACACACATACACACACACACACATGTATATTTAGACAGTATATCATCATTCAAACATGTTACATTAAATAATATAGACATATGTCTACTTATTTTTATAATAATAATTTCTAGTTCTCTAACCAGTTTCTTGATGTTAAGATGAAATTCATCAAGGAAGGTTTGGTTTATTTTGTTTTACAGCATACCAACTTCAATGGGTTATTTAATGCCGACAAAAATTTTTATTGCTGGTAATATTTTGTTTTGTCAAAAATCTGTTTCTGGTAATATATTTCCTTCAAAATTGTATTGCTGGTAATAATTTTTTTCAAAAATGTATTGCTGGTAATAGTTAACTATTTGCCCATAGCTGGGGCCCTAACAGGTGCTACCACCCCGAGTCAGGGTGGACCTGGGAACACCAGCAATTAAGAGGTGGTTCCACACTCCTCAAAACCTCCTGATCAGAGGCCTTGCTGCTGGATGTAGTTTAACATCTTACCCAGGACGCAGGGGTAGTTTAAGATCTTACCCAGGACGGATCAAGGAAGGTGCTATAGTTTTTTCCTACCTAAGTACTTTTGATCTTCTTCAAGATCATCCAACCAACACAATTGATTACAAGTGTAGCAGAACATTTTGAATTGCATTTAACCAACATTTAATGCCATTTTAAATTTCTACCAATTTCTGGTGAGCTCCTTTATATTGGGACGCTTGTTTTGCAAAAAAAAATCCATAACTACAACAGATAAATTTTAAATTTTAAAATAACTATAACAGAGCATGTCCACATGTGTTTTTAAAAATCACCATCACAACGATCACAGTTACAATAAGTTTGTCGTTGTAATTCCTAATTAATTCATTAAATTCACAAGTCCTACTAATTAACCCATAGCTGGAGGGGAGATGTGGATTCATACCTTTTCAAAGGATATTTGCACATAAGTGAATATAACAAACTCAACTGTAATCGAATGTCAGGAAGGTCATTTATGTAGATAAAGAATAGAGTGGGACCTAGGATGGAGCCTTGAGGAACACCTGCGTTCTTGGCATAGGAACTGGAGGAGAATCCGTTGAGAACGACCTTCAATTCATGGTTTGACAGGAATGATTGTATTAGGTCAGACAATCGATCCGTAATGCCATAACCCTGGAGCTTGCGAAGAACACCGGCATGCCAAACCCTATCAAACGCTTTGGAGATGTCTAGGGTCACGGCACGAGCTTCCCTGTTATTTTGAAGAGTTTGGTAGACAGTTTCATTGATGGCCGTAAGCATATCAGCTGTAGATCAGGCAAAGTGGAAGCCATATTGCTTGTCTGAGAGCAGATCATGGGATGTAAGGTGGTTAACCACTTTGGTATTGATTAGAGTTTCAAAGACTTTGCCGAAGAGGGGTAAGAGACTGATAGGACGGTAATTAGAAGGGTCAGAGGGGTCGCCAGAGTTCTTAAAGACAGGAACAATTGAAGAGGATTTCCAGCAGTCAGGAAAACAAGATTCCTTGTGGCAGTAGTTATATAGTTTAGAGAGGGCGGGCGCCAGTTCAGGCATGCATTTCCTCAGGACAATGGCTGGTATCCCATCTCCACCACTAGCCTTATTGGGGTCTAAATTGGAGATAATGCCCAATACTAAAGACAGGGTTATGTGTAACCCACTCAGTAGGGCCTCAGTTCTAAGAGGGAAGTCGGGTATGGGTACACCGGAAGAGTCGAGCGTTGAGTTGAATGAAAATTTCCGAGCAAAGCATTCAGCCTTGTCGGCAGAGGAGGTCAGGACTTCAAACTGGTTGAACAAAGGAGGTATAGAGGGTTTGCAATTGTTCAATAAGCTCTTGCAGAGATGCCAATAATCTTTGGAGCCAAAGTTTCAAGAAGCAATACGCTCCTTCATTCGAGCAGAAAATAGTGACTTAGCATCGTTAATCACCAGAGAGATCCTTCCCTGCCTTCCATTAGAATATCTGACGCTCAACTTCTTGAGAGCACCTCTCTGCGGCTGCTCGGTCTCACGTTGACTGCTGACCTGAGATGGAACAAATACATTGAGTCAATTGCTTCATCCACCACAAGGAAAGTTGGCTCCCTGTGCCGCACCAGGAAATTTTTCTCCCCGGAATTGATCCTCCATATCCACAAATCAACAATTCGCCCTTGCATGGAGTATTGCTGCCATATATGGTCTGGAGCCCCTTCTGTTTGCCTCGGGGTTCTTGATAGGCTCCAGAGGCGGATATGCAATATAATTGGCCCTATTCTGGCATCTCGTCTACAGTCACTCTCTCACAGACGCGTCGTCGCCTCTCTCTGTCTTTTTTACAAATACTTTCATGGCAATTGCTCCAAGGAGCTGCATTCGCTGGTTCCCAGACTTCATGAGTTCAAGCACCCTACAAGGCTGGCATCTTACTCTCACCCTTTCACTGTTGAAACTACTAAATATAGCCATCTCTTCTACTCCAATAGCTTCATGTCTCGCACCCCTCGCCTGTGGAACTCCCTTCCCTATTCCAGTTTCCCTGAGAGCTATAATCTCCAACTATTCAAATGTAATGCCAATTAACATCTCCAGTTGCCTTGATCTATCCATTATCCTTCTCCTCATCCTTTTCCTCTATCACTCCTATCTGATCTTGCTCCAATTCTTCTGTAACCTCTTGCGTCCTAGTGGCTTCCCGCCTTGCTTGGGGTGAAAACAAAAAAAAAACCTGACCCACCAGGTTCCAATCTCAAATCATTATCTATTACACCACCTGCACATCCAAGTTTACAGCACTTAGTGTTCCCAAGTAGTCACCCATTTAGGTACTGCCCTGGCTTAGCATTGTGATCATACAAGAACTGAGGTTTCAATGCAATATGGCTGTAAGCTATGAAAAATATAGGTTATCTCCCCTTGGTTGATAAGTTCTCACCATCCACCCACCGATAGGGAAGATGAGCCTGTTTATCTGATAATAATGGATAAGACTCAAATTTAGGTGCCAAATGGATTTTAGGCAACAAAGAAGAAAGGCTTGAAGACCACCAACGTGAATGGATGCATTTTAGCGTACTATAAAGAACAGGCAATACTGGCTACGAACAAACCTGAATAATACATCGACAATCAGCTATTGGAAGAAGAGATATAATCGACTTCAAATAAGTGTTTCAATCAATTTCAAACAGATACATGTATTTGGACTTTGTTCTCGTTGCCATGACATTAACTGATAAAAGAATATGTTTACCAATTCTCTCTTCTCATTTTCATAATAATGTATTACTTATATAAAAGAATGCTTTTTAAACTGTTCATTTGCCTCATCATTTGTCCCTCTGTTACAACTGATATGAGGAGTCACTAATTTTACTATAAAGCCACACATACATACAGACATTTAATTTAACTTCAAACATCAGAAAGGAACATTCATTTCACACAAAACATTTTTTATCATCCAACTTTAAATTACACCAACTTTCCTTTTTTTTGTATCTTAATTGTTTTGTCTGAACCAAACATATAAAGTTATTGTTATTATTTTGTTATCCATATATGTGTTAAAATAATTTATTTTAAAATGATAAAGATTTTCTACTAAATTTTGTTAGGGGACTCATGGTTAATTTAAACAGCCCTCTATGTAGATATTAACTTTAAATCCCTTACAACAGTTCCCCACCCTAAACTTTTTGCACCATGGACCGGTGTCATTCAAGACAATTATTCCATAGACCAGTGGTAGGATGGTGTTGGTCACACGCATAACAAAACACAATAAACTAGACTGTGATAAATGGTTCACAGCCTGATACCAGTCCATAGCCCGGTGGTTGGGGACTGCTGCCCTTCAAGACAAAGGTTATTGAGGATAAAGACAGACACCTGAAGAAGGTTGGAGAGTATAATGGCTGAAACATTGTGAGTTTAACAGACAAAATGAGCATTGTTTTATACTCCTCCTTGGTCTTTTGAACAGGAGTAGAGGTTTATCCCTTGTTTCCTGTTTAGGATTGGCTTTCTGGTTTCTTTCTCAAGTTTCTGATGTCTCCACCTGAAACCTGAAATTTTATTCAGTAACTATTTTTTCTCTCCCAATAAAAGTAGATAGGTTTGCTTATTATCCAGTTC